CGGTTCATGCAGCCTCCAACTAGTTTCGAGTTCACGAAGTTTGACCTTAACGCTAGCAGTGCTGCTTGATTATCAGAGTTTATGTAAATTATATGGTTGACGTAGTGTTTTTGCAGATTGATTTCCGCACACCGAGGTACGGTGAAAATTCTGCCTGGAAGATAGAGGTGTATCTACCCAAATTCATGCTAAGTTTGAATTTGGGGCGTTACCCGTAAATTCCAAAGCCTACGTCGAGGCCCATTTTACTACCACCGACCGACCCATCGGTATACCATATGAGGCTACCGACCTCACAGATAACCTGGCATTCAGCCAGTCTTCTCTGGAGGATAATTCCACTATAAACTTTTTATCAAAAGTTTAGTGAACGCATGATATCTGAGATGATGCATAAGACCGGTGATTCCTTAATTGAGTCGAGCATGGATCTCAATCTGTAGGAGAGCAAGCTCAGACCGCCCTGAGCGTTAATCCTATACAAACTAGCCCTCGCCTCCTTGTCTAGATAAAGATCAAGGGGCGTTAGGCATAGAAGTGCATTAAGAGCCGCTCGAGGCGATGATCACATAGCTCCAGTTGCCATTAAGCAGGCAGCCCTTTGTAGAATATTTAGTCTGTCCGAAGTCGTCTTTTGGTTGGCCTTGTTACACCAGACAATAAAGGCGTAGGTGAGAATCGGCCTCACTATGCTGCTGTACAGCCATAGAACCATACTGGGACGCAAGCCCCAGTTGTTCCCGATCAAACGACTGCACGTACCTAAAGCAATTTTTGCCTTATGTCATACGTTGCTAAGGCTAGAGTTCCACGTTAGTTTTTGGTCGATTGTTACGCCCAAGTACTTAATTTCCGTGGAAAACGGTACTTCTTTACCATTAAGTTTTAGTTGGGCTAATTTGTCCAACCGTCTCTTTTTGGTAAAGGGTATTATAACAGTTTTATCAGCATTAACTGATAAACTGTCATCCCTACACCTGTTATTTATGGTGTTTAGGGTTCTTTGTATTATTGATGATAAAGTACTTTGGCAAAAGCCCCTCGCAATGATCACAAGGTCATCAGCATAACCCAGTATGTCAATGCGTAGGTCTGCCATTTTGTACAATAATTGGTCAACCGCAAGAGTCCAAAGGAGGGGTGGCAAAACACTTCCTTGTGGGCAGCCTCTTGTAGTTGCAACCTCAATCGAAGTTTGAAACAGCGCTATTTTTGCCTTTCTGTTTGAGAGCATCGACTTCACCCACCTGGTGGCTTATGGGGTTGCAAGTGTAAGGTTGATTATTGTTCGACAGCGTTTGTTTATGAAGGTTGATTCGGAACCTGTATTTAAAATGGTTAGGTTAATGCTAAAAAGACATTCAGTTAACAAGGTGCCTTGCTCATTGGTTTTTTTTATTCCCCAGAGGGGATGACGCGCGTTGGATTCCGTCCCGATTAAAACCTTAGCCCAGTTTTATCGCAGAAATTCACTAGCCTCATGAGGTCATGAGGAGGAGATGTGTTTATGTAGATCGAGGCGACGACTATTCTTCTCTCCTGTGTGTTTTGTAATGCTACGGCATACATATATGTCTCTGGAACAGAAATCTTTAATGGATGTGCACAAATATCTTTAGTAGTGTAGATACACGCTCTAGGCTTGTGCTCAGAGTTGTAGAATAACTTGCCTTTTAGATTGCCCAGCTTGTCGTCGCATCACAGATAATTCATCTAAATTGTTTTTTAAAAACTTTATTACCGTACTGTGGCGGTGTAATAATATCTATAACCCCATATCATACTGTGTCCCGTGGGTTTCGTAAGAGCGAACAAAGGAAAACCAATCAGGAGATAGAGCAACAGATAAAGAAAACTAAGGTTGGTAACCAGTCAAGCGTGACAACTATGAAAAATGTCCCCACTATAAGGCAATCTATGGGGGAGGTCAGGAGGAGTGGACATTAATAGATTGTAGTGATAATGTTATGCTGCGAGATTTGAGGAAAATATTTAATTTCGCCGTCCTTCAAAGCTTGGAACAAAAACAAGTGATTTTATTTTTCAAAAGACGATAACGCTTCTTTGAAAAACTACAGCCGATTTCTCTTCAAACCTGCTTCAACGTGCTGTTTCCGAGTCATTACTACTTGCTGTGTTTTCTTTTTTGGCCGTACTGGCTAATGAGGGCTTTCCCTAATCCCTAAGGAGAGCTAATCCACGATGTTTTCTACTATTAGGGCGGTGCCACTATAAAATGAGGTGGAATATTTGACAGATTTCATACCGATAAAGTTAATTTGTTAGGAAAATGTAAGGGTATATATTACTTTCTTTAATATTAGTTATATTTTATGCTTATTAGGTTAGAAATGAACCATAGACCAAACTATGGTTATTTCTAAAAGTAAAAATAAAAGAAATTAGCAATCCACTGAAGCATTGTTTTACGTATTAATATCTTAAAAAAAAAAAAAAAAAAATATATATATATATATATAACGTGTCACGTTGTTTGTCCGCGATGGACTCCTAAGCTACTTAACCGATTTTAATCAAATTTGCAAACCGTGTGCAGTTTGGTCCAACTGAGAGATAGGATTGTTTTTTTTTGCTCATGAGTGATCCACAATTTTTTTGCTAATTTAAGGATTTTTAATAGGACATGACAAAGGGTCGTCGAAAAGTACAGAACAACGTCTGCCTGGCAAGCTAGTTTAAAATAATCTCAAAAAATTCAACCCGTTCCCAACTAGCGACATCCAGTGAAAGGAAGATTAATAGCCCTCATTGTATACCACAATCAGCTTGCTGCAATGGTGTAAGATGTCAATCCCAGCGTAAATCCGAGCAAGTGGTGGAAAATTTGAGGTTTATTTTAATTGAAACACTTTTTAAATGTAAAATGTCTGTTTTTTTTTTAAATAATGAATCACAGAAACAATAAATTATTCTCATTAAAATCTACGACATACAAAATTATTAACAAATCAGCTAAAACCGATGATCAATTTATAAACCTATTCAAAATCTTAATTAAAAATTACAAAAGTTACACTATTAAAAATCAACTACGATAAAAGCTAGAATCGTACTGGGGCTATGCCTCTAGATCGGTGTAAAATGTGTAGTTTAAAATAAAAATAACTTATATAAGTAGCGGAACGAATGTCTAGCGGTGACCGTTATTGCGTACAAGTCGAAAGGGTAGTAAGGTAGTAAGCGGGTCGCGGAGTGGGCGTGGGTATCGTTTACACGTGCTGATTGGCTGTGCGTATAGTTCGCAAGCGCTGATTGGCTCTCAAGTCGCATTCCGTCCCCCGCACTCCATGTTTCGTTCAGCGCTAGACTTACGTGCCGCGACTTACATCATATAATCACAGTACAAAAATAAAGCATTGCTTCATTAATCGACGACATCACAGCTTGTTAGCAAATCATATTACATTATGCAATCTATGGAATAAACAGTCTTTTAATAAAGTAAATAAAAATATTGTAGTTTGAGGTTAACAAATCTAAGTGATCTTCACCAGACAATATTAGGCTTCATCTGTTGTCTTCAACTGTTGTATCCGGAAGACCTAAAATTTGATGTTAATTGCTGTGATTATATTAGGATAGCTGCCACTAATTCACAAAGACCAACTACGTTGCCAAAAATGCATGGAAAGGAACCAACGTGGCAACCGTGGATCTTTATTGCAAAGTGAGGCTGAGATCACTTGTTATCACAGCATGCTTTAATATCTACCATATTATCCAACATTTGACAAACAAATGTATGAAATATAAACTATCAAACCCTAGTGATACACTTATATTTCAAAAACTAACTGATTTTAGTGTTTAAGATAAAATAAAACATTTTAATTACATTATATCAAAAATATAATGAAAACTTGTCATTTTAGCAATCAAATAAGTAGGTATTTGGGTATGTATGTATATTATATATGCTGATGTCAAACATTGTTTTAAAACACACATGCTAACAATAAAGGCTATAATTATGGCTTCTATAACTAGTCGGTAATACATTTGCCGTAAACTAGCATCAACGAACTGCAGCCATTTTTTTACAAATTTGCAGCGAGCAATTAACTATAAAGCCTATAACTTAAAAAGCTAAAGAACGTGAAGTGCGAAATTTAGTATCTATGTGCCTCTAACAATCATTCCACTAGTTCAAAATTCCTAAAATAAGTTTCTAAAATTGTCTTAAAATTTTAACTAAACTTGTCACACAGTATGTTGTAAATATTTACATAGTTATTACTTTAAATTAAAACAAAAGAAAATTCGTTATATCGAGAGTAATATTTGAATATTGAGAAATGTATTGAAAATATTATTTTTATTTTTCGATAACGGTCTGTTCAATAATGCTCTTTAATTTAGGCGTATTAAATATCTGTAAGGTAATGCTTCTCAAAAATTAATCAATGGTCAAATATGTCGATATAATTACTAAGCAATTACTTAGCACTACAATATTTTTGGATTTCATTTCTACATATTAATTAAAATCTTGTTAAAACAGATATCTTAGACAAATCTTGAAATAAAAGTTGTATAGGGTTGCCGACATATATTTGAAGAAATAAATTCAAATTCCTTTTTATTAGATAATTCATTTTTTATTGCTAAAAGCAAGATTGAACAAATTTATATATGTACGTAAATAATGCTTTAACGTTAATGCTTTAACTTTGTCGTGAATTGTATTGTCTTCGTGGTACATGAAATAGAGTAAAATAACTCTTTCCTATAGTAAGGGTGGCAACCTATGTCGTGATTGGTATACTTCACGCGTGAAAGGTTACCTCGACAATCATATATTTCGTCCCAGTTACTAGACAGTTAGCACTTTACATGACGCCGTAAACCTTCAGAAACCCTTTCACGCACGAGCTATATGTTTAAAGTTTGGTCATATTTTGGTGGGCGGTGTGATTAGTTTTGGTTGTTTTGATAAGTGGTTATTTCAATATTTGGTAGTATTTTGGTGGGTGCTATATTTAGTGTTTGGTGGTTGGTTGGTGCACGGTCTGTAGCGGCGGGAGTTCGACGTCGGGCAGCGGGTCGCGCCAGTACACCGCGTGCGAGAACTCGCCACTCGGCTCGCACAGCGCGGGCGGGAACACCTGGTCCACCAGCACTGACATGTGCGAGTACCTGCACCATAAGTTTTTTAATCACAACCCGTATAGATTATTATAGTACCGTATATTATAAGGTAAAAATAATTACTTGATTCACATCTATCCGTAACTAATGAAAATCTTTTACAGTAATATTGAGACAACGTTGTGTTCTGAACACACGGTGTGTTTTATTCATTACCTAAGCCGCCTCTATTGGTGGGAATGGGACAGATGGCGTTACGATAGGTTGTGTAGTTCAAAACTTATTGTCATTTCTGCAAATAATCTACTATTATAATATAATAAGTTCTTAAGTCAATAGATTGATCAAACGAACTTCCTCGATGTGAAGCTCGCTCATTACCCACACGGGTCTCTTCATTTTTCAGATATTATTTGCTTCATAGATAGGTTTTAGAACAGAAAGTTTTAAAATTTGAAAGCAGGAACATTTTACAATAATTACGCTTTTAGTTAATTAAGCATAGAATTGAAATATTTATGTTATCAATATTGCATGCCTTGAGCGCAAAGCGCGTAGGTATGTTCTACTAGCACATAAAAATCAAGAATCCAACGTTTTGTCGCATGAAATCGTATCTAACAATCATATTAAACATAAATGTTATAAAAAGCACATTTTCAGAGAGATAAATGATTGTTGAACTTATAATTTATTTTATAAATTTAATGGACAATATAGTTAATTTTATTTATCTAATAAATTTGTTAATTTTTTATATTATTTTAACAGTAAAAATGTATATTAAGCATCTTTAAAGCACCACACAAAGAGGAGACCGAGAAAAGGGGGAACAATATTTTTTTTAAATACTAGCAATGCTATTAAATTACTGTAATCCCTTTAACCACCACTGGTAGGCTGAAAATGCTTGTGTTAGAAGTGGTAGTCGAATGGCGGATTCGAACACACAACCTTTTGAGTTCACAGTCCGCACCTTGCCATTGGGCTACTGTCGCTTCCTACATTGTATTCTATCTCATTCTTTCGCAGGCTAAATACTATAGATGTGGATGTTTGCCTCTTTTTAGTGTCGCTCTTTCGTATCATTACAACGATTCTAAAGATGTTTCACTTCAATAAAACAGTTTATTAAGAATCGTAGTAATAGATTATCACTTTTGTGCAATATAATATAAACTTATTTATCCTTTTCTTTGTGATCCGGTGATGAATTAAGCTGGATATAATTTATGTCTTTTTTTCTAATTATTATATGTAATATGTAATAATACATTTTGTACTGCGCACTTGGTTATGGCATCGTGACCATCAGGCCCGTGCTGCGTTTTGCGAGATTTTTTTTTCTTGAAAGAAGTATGAACAACCATCAAGACGACGTCGTTAAGAATGGACGGACCGAAAGTTAACTTTTGTAAATCTTTAAACAACATATTAAGTTGTCTAATAAGTTAGGCCCTACTACTTGATAAGCAAATCATATCTGAAGAATAAGGTGAATTATAAGTTATATTTACATATTTTTATATTAAGATATATTTTAAGTGGATCTTAGCTAATTTATGTATAGGAGATTTAATATTTTATAACGCCAGACTAGAACATATCAGTCAATCAAGTATTAACCGCCTCGCACAAAAGCGATATTGGCAAATCCTCTCTACAACGGGAGGGACCCATGGCCAACGATATTAATAAATTATATATATATATATATATATATATATATACAATATGTAACGTAATTAACGCACACCCTCAGACACCCCAATTAGTATATATATACCTATATTATGTTATAATCATAATACAAAGTACACCGAATTTTTAGTTTAACATTTTTATGCACTGATTATTTATCAAATTAGTTATACCAATTCCGGAAGAATGTTGTGGTCACAGTACAAATCCACAAACGCAAGGACTTTAACATGCTTGAAATAAATATTTTATTTTTATTGAATGACAGAATTAGTAATAATACAAATAAAACTGCACTCTTAAAAGTCTTATTGCCTTAAGTTAAGGTCCATTTCAGTTTGTTTTGACTGTACAGATTTAGTGTGACTGTAATTTACAGTTTTATTTATTTTTGGGATAAAAAATTACCTATATTAAAAATGATAGGAATCGATTCAGTAACCGATTCTGAACAAACTACTTTCTCAAAGTGCGTTAATTATGTTACATGTTGTATATATATATATATATATATTATATATATATATATATATATATATATATATATATATATATATATATATACTTTTGCGGGCGGGTGATGAATTAGCATTTAACTAAACTTAGAAATATTATCATTATAATATTATGCTAAGTAATAAAACAGAGTTCAGCTTATTATTTAAACAAGTCAACTAATCCCACACATATAGACACACAAAAGTATCAGTTACTCAAAATTATAAAGAAATAACAGCGCCGATAATAATCACAGAACATACGAGTAGATGAAACAAAGCAGGGAGACTGTTTACGAATTGGCAAGTTGCTATGGTTATTAATAAATTACTACATTATATTACGTATAAATGTTATTTGCTACATTTAGTAATGCTTTAAAACCTTGGTAGGATTGTCTTTAAAATTGATTTTTGTAGGTATACTGTATATAAATTTACTAGACTTCAAGAAACTATAGCGTCTTTGGCTGCTATTTCTTTTAATTAAAATACTGGCAATATATTAACGTTACTAATATTCCCGTTTACCACTTTAATTTTTATTTTATAGGTTAGCTTAAATACCTTGAGTGGTTCAAGGCAGTAATCGAATTCATATGGCAGATTCGAACGCACAACTTCTTGATTTCGCGGTGTTTGAAAGTTCGTTATGATAACTCGGTTATATCTATTGACATGGGTGTCTACTTCCCTATAAGTGAAATATTGGCTACCACTTGTATGACAAAGATTAACAAAGCAACACTGATTGCAACGCTATCGATATGAGCATATGTGTCACGCAATTGTGTAATGGCCTTATTACGTAATGAAGTCGTCATTATCGAGTTGTCATCCCAAATATGAACATTAAGTTCTGATAACATATAATAAATTCATTAATTATTTTTTTCATGATTTGAATATACCGCTTAGAGTAAGAACATACATTTGTATAGTATACATAGAGGGAATCTACTATTCTACATAACCTCTTTATGTCAATAGACTTATCTTGCTTGCTCAAATTAATTTTTTACATTAAGTAAAAAGAGAAACATTTGAGCGCCATGCCACAAATGCATTCCCGTGTCGTGTACGCCAAAGAAAAAAAAAAAAAGAAAAATACCCACGAATAAAATAGTGTCGCGAAAAGTTCATATATCGGTAGGGCTGCCATCCGTCCGGGTTTCCCCGGATTTGTCCTAGTTTGGATAACGTGCGGGGAGCGTCCGGGCGGGGTTTAAATTGTAGTCCGGGTTGCACCGGACTACAATAAAAGTCCGGATTTTCGATCAGATCCCGTTCCCATAATTTATGTAAATAAAAGCTATGGGTTAGGTATTGCTTTCTTGTCGTCACAAGAACGATTAAAACATTATTTCATGCAACAAAAGAGGCTTAAAATTAAAGTTTTTTCTATCAAGTACGGAGTAAAATATATTTTAATCAAGATGTAAGAGAATGAAAAAAGTATTGAAATGTCCGGGGTGAAAGTTTCAAAATCCGGGGAACTTACGCTTCTAGTCCTGGGGGGCAGGTTTTAGAGATGGCAGCCCTATATATCGGTAACATACAATGACTTGCTTTTGTTGGTTTTTATGCAATAAATGGCTACTTATAATCTGGGATGTTTTCATTGATCTTGTGCTATCTCCTAATCTTTGTATATACAGAATGGGTCCCACATATATGCAATAAATGAAACCACAAGTAATACTAGTCCGTAGAAGTGTAGAAAAATTAAATATTAAATTAAAACCCGTAAAATAAAAAAAGTGAAATTTTCAAACAAAATAAATATTAAAATAAATTCAGTAAAAGTGAACACTCTGTTTAGACAACGTACCTTGACCCCTTGGAAGAGTGACAACGTTGCACGCGGGTGGCACGCAGACAAAAGACACCGCTGTCGATATGTCGCAATACCAATAGTTTGCACTGCGTGGCAACGTCGTTTTTTAATGTTCAAGGATTCAGTTCATTGAATCATTGACTTAGTGACCCAATTCTATAGAGTGTTCAAATTTGCTTAAAATTAAAACTCTACTTTTTGACCTAATTACTGGACCGATTACGTTCATTTTTTGTATATCGTCAGCAAAGGCGATAACAAGTATATGGTTTCATTTATTGCATATATATGGGACCCATTCTGTATGTACTTAGTACATAAATAAAAAACAAACATTACAAATAAAATAGTAGTGCGTTCGAGAGAAAGGGTAGGGGGCTTCCCTTAAACCTACCCCCGTAGGCAAATACTGGATGTTTATAGTTTTACTTTCCGAAAATATACCGAATACCGTAAGAAAATTTTAATTTTTTAGTAACGATATCTCAAAAACTAAGAGAGATATCGAAAAATTTTATTCTAACTTTACAGCGTATCTCGTCGAGATCTATGCGAATCCGTCCGATATTCTTAATATAAATCCGAATGAAGAACTGTAGTCGTGCATTTTTTTCTTTATTGAAACGGTTACTAAAATATAGAGTACTTAATTATGTTCATATTTTCATTTCTACGTGGTTATTTTCTGTTAAAGATCAATTTTTTATTTTTAGGTAGGTTACTATTGTACGGCTATGCTGTAAGACGCGAAAGTATTAGTTACAAAAAAGAAAGTCACCACCGAGAACAAAAGAGCCGCTTAGTACTAAGTCGACATGCTATTTTAGATCTTAACGCTTTATAGCTAGATCGATTTTTAGTGATGGAAAAATTTGGGATGTGCAAGCGGGATTTAGAAAGGGAATGGGGTGTACAGATCAAGTCTTTATCATGCGCATGATAGCGGAGAAGTTTTTGGCCAAAAAGCAAAGTTTTGACAGACACACAGACAGACAGATTGGACAGGGATATGT